TAGAGAAACTCTAAAGCAAAGCTTCCTACAGCAACGTAACAAAAAAAATTGACAGGCAGTAAAATAAAGAAAAAAAGGGATTTTAGAGAAACTCTAAAGCAAAGCTCCGTACAGAAACGTAGCATGAAAAATTGGCAGGCCGTAAAATAAAGAGAACGAAGGATTTTAGAGAAAGTCTAAAGCAAAGCTCCCTACAGCAACGTAGCATGAAAAATTGGCAGGCAGTAAAATAAAGAGAACGAAGGATTTTAGAGAAACTCTAAAGCAAAGCTCCCTACAGGAACGTAGCAATAAGAATTGACATCCAGTAAAAAAATAGAACGAAGGATTTTAGAGAAACTCTAAAGGAAAGCTCCTTATAGGAACATTGCAATAAAAATTAACAGGCAGTAAAATAAAGAGAAAGAAGGACCTTAGGGAAACTTTAAAGCATAGCTCCCTACAGGAACATAGCAATAAAAATTGACATACAGTCAAAAAAAGAGAACGAAGGGTTTTAGAGAAACTCTAAAGCAAAGCTCCGTCCAGGAATGAAGAATGAAAAATTGGCAGGCAGTAAAATAAAGAGAACGAAAGATTTTAGAGAAACTCTAAAGCAAAGCTCCCTACAGGAACGTAGCAATAAGAATTGACATACAGTAAAAAAAGCGAACGAAGGATTTTGGAGAAACTCTAAAGGAAAGCTCCTTATAGAAACATTGCAATAAAAATTAACAGGCAGTAAAATAAAGAGAAAGAAGGATCTTAGGGAAACTCTAAAGGAAAGCTCCTTATAGGAACATTGCAATAAAAATTAACAGGCAGTAAAATAAAGAGAAAGAAGGATCTTAGGGAAACTTTAAAGCAAAGCTCCCTACAGGAACAAAGCAATAAAAATTGACATACAGTCAAAAAAAGAGAACGAAGGATTTTAGAGAAACTCTAAAGCAAAGCTCCCTACAGCAACGTAGCATGAAAAATTGGCAGACAGTTAAAGAAAGAAAACGAAAGATTTTAGAGAAACTCTAAAGCAAAGCTCCGTACAGGAATGTAGAATGAAAAATTGGCAGGCAGTAAAAAAAGCGAACGAAGGATTTTAGAGAAACTCTTAAGGAAAGCTCCTTATAGGAACATTGCAATAAAAATTAACAGGCATAAAATAAAGAGAAAGAAGGATCTTAGGGAAACTCTAAGGGAAAGCTCCTTATAGGAACATTGCAATAAAAATTAACAGGCAGTAAAATAAAGAGAAAGAAGGATCTTAGGGAAATTTAAAGCAAAGCTCCCTACAGGAACAAAGCAATAAAAATTGACATACAGTCAAAAAAAGAGAACGAAGGATTTTAGAGAAACTCTAAAGCAAAGCTCCGTCCAGAAATGTAGAATGAAAAATTGGCAGGCAGTAAAATAAAGAGAACGAAGGATTTTAGAGAAATTTCAAAGCAAAACCCCTTATAGGAACATTGCAATAAAAATTGACAGGCAGTAAAATAAAGAGAACCAAGGATTTTAGAGAAATTCTAAGACAAAGCTCTCTACAGCAACGTAGCAATAAAAATTGACAGGCAGTAAAATAAAGATAAAGAGGGATTTTAGAGAAACTCTAAAGCAAAGCTTCCTACAGCAACGTAACAAAAAAAATTGACAGGCAGTAAAATAAAGAAAAAAAAGGATCTTAGAGAAACTCTAAAGCAAAGCTCCCTATAGCAACGTAGCAATAAAAATTGACAGACAGTTAAAAAAAGAGAACGAAGGATTTTAGAGAAACTCTAAAGCAAGCTCCCTACAGCAACGTAGCATGAAAAATTGGCAGGCAGTAAAATAAAGAGAACGAAGGGTCTTAGGGAAATTCTAAAGCAAAGCTCCCTACAGGAACATAGCAAAAAAATTTGACATACAGTCAAAAAAGAGAACGGTGGATTTTTGAGAAACTCTAACGTAAAGCTCTCTACAGGAACGTAGCAATAAAATTGACAGACAGTTGAAAAAAGAAAACGAAAGATTTTAGAGAAACTCTAAAGCAAAGCTCCGTACAGGAATGTAGAATGAAAAATTGGCAGGCAGTAAAATAAAGAGAACGAAGGATTTTAGAGAAACTCTAAAGCAAAGCTCCCTACAGGAACGTAGCAATAAGAATTGACATACAGTAAAAAAAGAGAACGAAGGATTTTAGAGAAGCTCTAAAGGAAAGCTCCTTATAGGAACATTGCAATAAAAATTAACAGGCAGTAAAATAAAGAGAAAGAAGGATTTTAGAGAAACTCATAAGCAAAGCTCCCCACAGGAACGTAACAATAAAAATTGACAGGCAATGAAATAAAGAGAACGAAGGATTTCAGAGAAATTTCAAAGTAAAACTCCTTATAGGAACATAGCAATAAAAATTGACAGACAGTAAAATAACGAAAACGAAGGATTTTAGAGAAATATCAAAGCAAAGTTCCCTACACCAACATTGCAGTAAAAATTGGCAAGGAAGAAAATAATAAGAACGAAAGATTTTAGAGAAACTTTAAAGGAAAGCTCCCTGCAGCAACGTAGCAATAAAATTGACAGGCAATAAAATAAAAACAACAAAGGCTTTTAGGGAAACACTAACGCAAAGCTCTCTACAACAACTTGGCAATAAAAATTGACATGTTGGCTTTTTGAGAAACTCAAAAGCAGAGTAAGTTATAGTAAGTGATAAACGAAAGTTAATACGCAAGGAAATAAAAATAAAAGTGGTTTTTAGAGAAGCTTTTCAAAAGAGCTACCAGCAGTAAGTTAGAAAAAAAAATTCATGCGGAAGGAAACAAAAATATAGAAGGTTTTTAGAGAATTATTTTTACAAAGCTAACAACAGTAAGAAACTTTTCGTCAAAAGTAACGCATAGTAAATCATGAATAGAATTTAATTCTCAAGGAAAAAATACATTTTGAAATATAATGGTAATTTGAAAAAAATAATTTTCCTTAGAAAGTATAAGGTTGACACTTCAGAATTAAAGGTCTGCACTTCAGAATAAAAGCACAAGGATCCATGCTATTTAAGTTTAAGTTTGGAATTTGAAGGAAAGGGAACCGACATACCTGCAAAAGTCATACAAGTTCTTATGAAGGTTTTAGTCCAGATCCCATTCATATCCAATTTCTAGGTGTTCAAAGAATTAGCTGGCTATATTGATGAACTTTGAAGAGGAATTTGTAAGCCCTAGGATTTAAACAAAAAATAACATTGTAAGTAGTTGAAAAAATATTTCAATAAAGTTTAAGTTTCTGGAATTTTGTCCAAAAGAACAGAGTCCAGAGCTAAAAGCAAGACCTAAAGGACCGAAGAAACCAAACAAACTGTTTATGATTAAAAGAGATCTCGAGAACGTTATCGAGAAAGTCCGAAATTAAAAAGTCGTTTCAATCAAAGTATCGACATCCTAGATGGCTTTTTCATTGCTAATATTTTTTCAAAATTCTAAAAAGCAAAACACTTTTGTTTTCAAAACTGAATTGCCAAAAAATTGACATTGGTTGGAAAGAGCTAAGGGAGGAGGTTTTCATAACAAAGGGTAGTATCGTTGCTAAGAGGATATCTTCAAAATGCTTGCAAAAATAGCATCAGTGAAGGTAATGTCACAGTATTTAAAAGTAATATATAATGATTTACATCAGACTTTGATTGGCATCACATTGCAGGCTTAGTTTGCAAGAATTCGGAGGAAATTAAGCAAGTCAGGATTTTGTCCTAAATTTTTCCTAAACTTTCAATATTTTAGTCAAAGCCTTAAAATCCACAAAACATTATGCAGCTGTGTCCTACATCAAGCTACGTATGAAGCAGATCAGAAGTGAGGGAGCCAAAATAAGAAAGTCACACAGACACGCCCTTTATTAAAGGTTACACCCAAAAATGATGTAAAGAATTAGTTGCTACATTATCTGCAGACGGAAGGAAAGTTTTGTAATGCATTCATTCTGTGGGCTAATGCATAAATATTAAAAACATTATCTTATGGGAAAAGAAATTTTATTATTGAAATTAAATTAATGGCAATCTCGGCCTAAATATCTATAAAAAAGGAAAATGTTTGTGAGGAATTCAAGACTGTCTACTCTTGATTTGAAATTATATAACAGTAGAAGAAAGTGGGTAACTTTGTGGTTTCGTTTGGGGATGTCAGGGACTTTTATCCTGCCAAAAATTATAACTATTTAATGAAAATTGATTCAGAGGAACATTTGAATGATGAATGAAGCAAAAAATTAAAAACAATGGGCAGCAAGGGATTGATGAAGGGAGGGGATTCAGGGGCTTGCCCTTAAAAAAAATTTAAGGACCAAATCCTCTGAATTGTACAAAATCATAACTACAACAAGAGTGAATATAAAGTCATTATTCTCATTTCGGCTGGAAAAATTCCTTGGACCATTATGCTCTAACGAATCACTGCTGACATAGGCTCTGATATTAAAAGATCAATTTAATCACAGATAATCTGGTTTCCATCTTTGCTATGCTTTAAAGAGCAAAATCTTCTCAAGGCTAAGTCTACAAAGGAAAATTACAGAACATTTTGGCAAAATACATTAATTTAAAAGATGAATTTATGAAATCTTTCTGGCACAAAAGAAAAGGAGGTTTTCCAAACAGAAAATTAACATTCTTTTAGGAACAGTGACTAAATTCAGAGCATTAATTAAGCAAGATTTGAAAGAATATATAAAATTAAAAGTGATATCATTGCAAAATCTTTTTGAAGACAGTGAGGAATGGTAAGCATGAATAGCAAAGCATCTGATTTCCTGCAGGAGTGCAAGGAGGGCTGTTTCTATCATCAAGACAGCATTTATTTAAAGAAAATTATATTCAGCTTTGGTGGAAATAATATATGATACACTAGAAAAAGTCTTATTTGTTGATAGCTCTTTTAGTTTGCTTCACATTTTAAAATACTTTTTAAAATACTTGATTTGAAAGATACATTAGATTTGAAAGATACATTAAATTATATTTCTTGGCAAAATGCTATATCATAATTAACTACCTGGCTTTTGGTTCCAAAGTTTTCCAATCACGACAAAACACCACAAAGTCAAAGCAGGATGCAAATATCCATGACTCTACATAAAACAAATTTAGACATGAATTTTTATATCATGTAGATCATCAAAATTTTAGTATATAATCTTTCACAAACTGGCATTGATTTTTATTAGTTTGAATGCTGCGTTTAAAAATCTTATATCAAAACTTTTAACCATACTGTTGGGGTCTTGGAATATTTGCGCGAAAATTTCTTGTAATGGTTATCTACATTTAAAGGCTGATTCACTTTTACATTCATATCCAAATAAAATTTTCATTTACTAAAGTATAATTATAAAATTGTTGTGTTTTTTTCTTATAAAAGAAAAATGAGATAATGACTTTAGAAATCATCTTACATTGAGCTGCAATCCTTCAGAGCAGATTAAATGCTGGTCAAATGAAATTCTATCAGAGCTTTTTTGATGAGAGATGTTATAGAATTTGAAATCATTAAGGGTTCTTATTTTCTTTCAATTTTATTAATCAAATTTAGGTGTAAAGTTCTGCTATTAAGCTTTAATTTGCTGTTTTGATGCCTTTGGGAATAATGGTGAAGTTGTAGTTGGGTTTTCTTGGGTGAAAGTTGTTACAGAGAGTGTAAGAAATTTTTTTGGATAGGGTTTCTTGTTTTTTATGTATGCCCTTGCCAGGCTGTTCTCTTCTCCTGTCCCTCTCTTCCCTTCTGGTTTAAAGTAAAGTGTGTTTCTTCAAATCCTCTATAATTTTACCTCATAGGGGTTTGGGCTTATTCACATAACAGGATTCAAATAACAGATTATTATGATTTCATTAAGGGTAGACTTGGCTCTTTAAGTTTTGTTTCTGTTCCCCTCTCATACCTTATGCAACTAAGGTAGGATGGTGCATCAGCTCCCTGGTGGGGATAAGCTGCCTTGTTACTCTAATCAATCAAGTTATATCTAAGGTCTAGGGCAGGCATTCTTAAACCCCGGCCTGCGGGTCATCTCCGGCCCACAGCAAAATGTCATCCTGCCCACCAAATGCATTTTACCTCAAAAATATTTTTTGCCAACATTTTCAAAATTTGGAATTCAATCTATCTTTGGTTTTCCTTTGTCCCCTCTGATATATTTTTTTCTCTTTAATAAATTTTAAATGCGTTCCATGGACAGTTTTTAGTCCAAAAGGGAATAATAAAATAGCAAATGCCTTGTTTCCTTTCTCATATCAACAGATAAAACTATGGAACCTAGTCAAGAAAATGCCTTGAATTTTCTCCCGTTAAAATCTATTTGAGGCAGGGGCAAAACTACCGGGGGGCGGTGTGGGGGGGTGTGACACCCCCCTAATTCAAAAAATAGTCGATTTCGCAGGGCAATCGAAGATTTCGCAGGGCACCAAGAAGAGCTTTATTGCCACACAGAAATGCCACCTCTGAAGTTCGTAAAGAGCCGTTTAGGAATTTTGAAATGGAAATATCGTATTTGTTATGAACCTCCCTTCCTGACATTGCATTTTAGAGAACGGAACAGGTATGTAAGGAAAAGCTCCATTATTTGCAAAGCAAAAGCATTTCTTACCGAAAGTCATAGCCAATGGATGCGATGATTGATGCATATGTTTATGAGGGCAAGGTTGAGTCATGCAAATTAATTTAAGTTGTAAATTATTTTCATGACAAGCAGCTCACTTTGGTCAAGATAGGAATTTTTTATCATTTTTTCTATTACCTTTTAACAGTGCATAAAAAACATAATAAATCGTTAAGATACCGATTTTGTTTCATCTAATTGCTAACTTTTTCACATATATTTTTATTATTTTTCTTTTATTTGCATTAAGTCAGTAAATCACTTTCTGTATCATTGCAATGTTTTAATTTTGGATGGCCTTCTTGATACAAGAAACTGCACATTTCTGTTCAGGAAAAAAAATTCTCCCAATCAAAACAACATCTTCCTCTGTCATTCACAACTACGTGCAATCTGAAACGAAAGGTTGCAGTTTCTTTCCTTCCCCAGCGTCTAACACTAGAGCTTTAGCATGACATCCCCCTCCCGTTTTTTCCCAATTAACAATAATATTTTCAATAAACAGTCAATTCGCTTTTTAGCCCTTTTTACAAGGTATAATTTCAAAAAATTTCTTCACGTCTGACCCAACCATGGTGGGTCCTCCTACCTCACTAAACTCGACTCTTAGCCCCACTGGGTTAACTTTCGTTCCGCTGTCTACATCATTACCCACCCCCTATTCCCCCAATTAGCTGTTTATTAGCATAATTTTGCAAGCCAACATTAAGTGAAGTGAATATAAAAACAATTTACGCTCACGTAGAGAAATAGAAATTTCATAGGCAATGAAGTTTCAAGTTTGTTTTTTTTGCTTAGAAGTTTGTCCTTGGTAAAGACCAGTGTACACTGGTAAAGCTTTCACTAGTAACCTATAGACGAACCGTTGCTACGAAATCTGCAGGGCACCACTCAGTTTTGCAGGGCAGAAACCCTTATCACCCCCCCAAAACTATTGGCCAAGTTACGCTCCTGATTTGAGGTGTTGTTTCTGGCCATTCCTAGATTTATATAGCCTAAAAATTTTTTTGCCCGCCAACCATGGAGGTGGCCTTGACTAAATACATCCACAAACATAAGATTTTGGCCCTACTTTAAAATACGCTGTGCAGTCCCTTGACCTGTTTTCAGCCACTTCAAATCGACCCAACAAGAGACAAATGAAGATTAACGTTCTAGCCTAAAAATAGCATAGAACGATTTCCTGACTCAGCATGGTACAAGAAACATAAAGTTACAGACCATTGTAAAAACTATTTTTTGGGTTTATGCGAAGGTAGATAAGATAGGCAGGCACAAAATAAAAGGCCTGTCTATTTTATCACTAACTTAGCCTGGTAAAAATGAGATCTGAGTTTCATTTTGAGCAGCCTACACAAGGTATGTAAAAGTTGAAAACCAACTGGCCCCCGAAGCAATTCTACATGAACCCCTGGTCTAAGGCTTTATATGGAATTATTGGTCGATTTTTACCAAGGCACCAACAGCCAAATGCGGAAGTGAAGGCTAAACACCTGATTTGTAGAATGGCAAAAATCGATTAAGGACCTAAGATAACAAAGTGATAGATAATAATTCCTAAACTTCCACTAAAAAATAGCCCTTCTTGTTGCTTAAAGCCTATTCAACACTCTACAACACGCAAAACAAAATGATTCTAAAGGCCACAAACAACAGACAAGAACAAACACAAAACATCACTGAGCATAAAAATGTGACATGCCAATGGAAGTGTCTTCTGAAGTAAATAATATTTTTAAATTCAAAGAATTCCTTTTTTATTGTTTTCAACCTGAGAAGTTAATCTCTTTACGAGTTTTTTACTCAAAAGAGTTTTAATAATTTTGAAAAACAAATCTGAGAGATTGCAAGAGCCCTATACGACACAGCGATCAATATTTGCCACTCTCTAGAGAGTGGCAACTTAGGTTGGTGACTTCATGGCATAGCACCCACTTTTCTCTAGTTATGCAATGTAATTTTAGAACATAACTTACAGAAAAGACGGCGCTAAAAACACCACAGGGATTGATCAGAAGCTGGCCTAACATCATATGGCGTTTATAAAATAACAGTAGCAACCTAGACATACCTTCGGCCTTTAACTGTTCAGCATTACAATATATTTATCCAACATCTTGTCGCATAGTAAATATAAATTTTCTTGGAATAACTATAACACGTGAGCCGCTTATGACGAAAACAACTTTCTTCGAAGCCATGTTTTTAATCACACGAAAGGCGAATAGCATTCTGGGTAGTAAAGCTCCTTCGTCGATACGTGTTGACGAAAGAAGATATCTTTACTGTTTTCAAACAACTGCTTTTTGGCCATATGGAAAATCAGAGGCACTAATTACATTTTAAAGAAAAAGCTAGCTAAAAAGATAAAGAAAACGGCGACATTTAGTACGGACGCAAAAATTGACAATACTAAAAAATTGAGAAGAAGAATCCATGTTGACAAAGAACTGCCTTAAGTTAAATTGTTGGGGAAGAATAAATTTGATGTAGCTGTAACTATCTAAAATTTTTTAGAAAAACCCTGTGAATGAAATTTTGATAAAATGAGATATCAAAAGTTGCCAAGGCATAAAAGTTGCGGAGAAATCACTCAAGGATGACGTCAGACCTCGCTCGTCAGACTCATATTTTTCTCTCGCATTCGCTAATACAGATGAAATTTATACATATATAAAGTACGGATTAACTGTATACCATCTACTTAATGGATAAAAAGTCTACCTGCGGGATGTAATTCTTGTAAATCATTACGAGGACCATAAAAACCTGTGTATAATCCACACTTGTTTAATCATTGTAGTTTTTATATTCTATGGAGTAGCCCTAACTCAATCCTTTGTTTTCCTTTAAGCAAAATGATCTAGTGAAAGAACAAAGGGAAGACTAGCCGATTGAAAGATGGAAACGTTATCGCGTGGTGTTGGAAGGGACATTCATCTTGTTATTTGGAGAATTTACTTCGAAAATTGGAATTTTTGGTATTGGAAAGAGGAAAGCAAAATAACTAATAATCAACAAACAAATTTCTTTCACTGCCTTGAAAATATAACTGGTTGCCCGGATCTAAAAAAAATCTGGAAAAAAATTTGTTTTGCTTAAAAATAAATTAGAAACACTGGGCTTTTTTTCCGTTTATTTTGCCTACAAATCTCATTTTCTTGATTAATTACATACTTCTCCATGGCTATTATCTAAAGCTGATACTAAATATACTCGGTTAAGGTTATAGGCAGGTTTTGAGATTTACATTTAAAATTGTAAAATACCCAATTTTAATGTTTTATAGAATTAAATCGGAAGTAAATAGCTAATAATAATATACATAATTATACGAGCTGTTGTCTTGCTCTGCATTGCTTTGCGAATAATTCAGTGCTATTTCGTATACCTTATTGTAGTTACTAACAAAATGCACTTCTAAGTTTTGTTTTATGAAACTTTGCAAGTTGTCATGGCCTTTTCTGTTGCCTTCTGGTAAAATGACTGTTGATATATTTGCACGTTTTGCCTGAAAGAAAAAAATTATCAAGGTTCATAATTAATGAGTCATTGTGTTTAAATATTGTGTGATCAAACAAATTGTTTGTCTATAAGGATATTAAGCATATAGAAAGGGCAGGCCTGTGAAATCTTATAGAAAAGAATAAGATGTTATTTCAACATAATGAGAGAGTGCTCTCTTGTCTGTATGCATGGATCAACAGCGATAATTTGCTAGCTATTTTGCTAGCTATTTATGAGTGAAATATTTACCATTTGGGAAACTAATATGTTGATATATTGAATAACTTCGTGAAAAGAAAATGTCAAATAAGAGTTTATTATCTTTCTGGTAGAATAATTGATAAAAAATATGTCAAACAAGAAGGATATATCCATATGTTCTTTCATCATTGTTTTATAACATTATTTGATGTAGCACTACTGCCTTTCTGTGAAACAATCATTTCGCTATATTTATATATTTCATTTTCAAAATGGCTTTGAAAAAGACAAACTTTTGAAACATGTTTCTAAAGCTTTTCGTCTGACACTCTTCAGAGTATACAAGGTCAGAACATAAATCGAAAACTATCTTATTTTATTTTCATTTTTAGTTTTTATGCCAATAACTTCCCGTGAAATGTAAGCTAGTACTCTAACTATCGAAGAAGTAAGTTTGTTGGTGGCTCATTGCACCCAACGAAAAGAGTATGTTGGGAGCAAAGTTTAAATGCGTTGTGCTCTTCTAACAAGATTGGGAATAGAAATAAGAAAGAACAATAATTTTCTCTAATCGTAGTAAATGCTTTTACAGTTGCGATGATCAGTTCATTAAACCTCTGGCTTCTCTAGAGCACGTGTGTCTCTAAAAACCAGACTGGAAAAATTACAACAGTTGAGATCCAACAACACTCAAGTTAAAACACCTCTTTATGGTTCTCATCCTCCCTTACTAGATCGATTAATGTCTAATTTAGCAGTGGGATTTAAACTATCTGTAGCAAATATCGGACAGGGTACAGTGAACTTATAAAATGGCATTTTGTTCGCACTTAATCAGTCATATACTCAGCCATATATTTGCATTCACGCAAAACAGCTAATATTTCTATTGTATTTTCATTCGGTTTGTAGCCTAGCTTTTCTATTCGCTTTGTTTTAGTTTAGAAAAAGTGTTCCCATTTATCGGGGACGAGTTGACAACTGTCGGAAAGCGATAAAATATGTTGACAACAAAACAACAGCAAGCAAAAACGCTCCAAATCACTTTCATGTGATTGGTTAATTACACCCAAATGACTGTTTCTTAACAAGAGTGAATCGGAGTCCTCGGTGACCAGTTTTCCGATTAAAATTTTCTTTGATCAGAAAAAGGTTTATGAGTCGGGAAAATTTTTCAATTGAAAGTTTCTTTAATCGGTAAGAGTCGTTGAACTCAAATACACTCTCCCGACCCTCGTAATTCACACTCGGCGCAGTGATAACGAGCGCAAGAAATTTTTCCCACTAGAAACTTCAATGATTGTTGAAAAAGATTTTCTAAAGAAAAAAAAAATCAGGTGAGATGGCAGAGAGAAAGAACAACAAGGCACGGTCTCAAGTGTTGAAAAGATACCAACAAACATCATAAACTTAAACGAATCTTGAGAAATATTTTTTAGAGAAGAAATGAAAAATAAATCAGGAAAAAGAGCAGAGAGGAAGAACAACAAGGGATGGTCTCAAATGTCGAAGGGGCACCAACGAAAACCACAAACTTCAATGAATTATCAGAAAGATTGTTTAGGGAATAAATAGAAAAATAAATCCGGAAAAAAGGAAGAGAGGAAGAACAACAAGGGACGGTCTCAAGTGTCGAAAAGGCACCAACGAAAACCACAAACTACAATGAATTATCAGAAAGTATGTTTAGGGAATAAATAAAAAAAATCATGGAAATGGGCAGAGAGGAAGAACAACAAGGGATGGTCTCGAGTGTCGAAGAGGCACCAACTAAAACCACAAACTTCAAAGACTTAGAAAATAGTTTGTTTAGAGAATAAATAAAAAATAATTCAGGGCAAGGGGCAGAGAGGAAGAACAACAAGGGATGGTCTCAAGTGTCGAACAGACATCAACGAAAACCACAACCTTCAATGAATTCTCAGAAAGATTGTTTAGGGAATAAATAGAAAAATAAATCCGAAAAAAAGGAAGAGAGGAAGAACAACAAGGGATGGTCTCAACTGTCGAAGAGACATCAACGAAAACCACAAACTTCAATGAATTATCAGAAAGATTGTTTAGAGAATAAATAAAAAACAAATCAGGGAAAGGGACAGAGAGGAAGAACAACAAGGGATGGTCTCAAGTGTTGAAGAGGCATCAACAAAAACCACAAACTACAATGTATTATCAGAAAGTATGTTTAGGGAATAAATAAAAAATAAATCAGGGAAAGGGGCAGAGAGAAAGAACAACAAGGGATGGTCTCAAGTGTCGAAAAGGCACCAACGAAAACCACAAACTTCAATGAATTATCAGAAAGTATGTTTAGGGAATGAATAAAAAATAAATCAGGGAAAGGGGCAGAGGGGAAGAACAACAAGGGATGGTCTCAAGTGTCGAAAAGGCACCAACGAAAATCACAAACTTCAATGAATTATCAGAAAGTATGTTTAGGGAATGAATAAAAAATAAATCAGGGAAAGGGGCAGAGAGAAAGAACAACAAGGGATGGTCTCAAGTGTCGAAAAGGCACCAACGAAAATCACAAACTTCAATGAATTATCAGAAAGTATGTTTAGGGAATGAATAAAAAATAAATCAGGGAAAGGGGCAGAGGGGAAGAACAACAAGGGATGGTCTCAAGTGTCGAAAAGGCACCAACGAAAACCACAAACTTCAATGAATTATCAGAAAGATTGTTTAGGGAATAAATAAAAAAAAATCAGGGAAAGGGGCAGAGAGGAAGAACAACAAGGGATGGTCTCAAGTGTCGAAGAGACACCAACGAAAACCACAAACTTCAATGAATTATCAGAAAGTTTGTTTAGAGAATAAATAAAAAAAAAATCAGGGAAAGGGGCAGAGAGGAACAACAACAAGGGATGGTCTCAAGTGTCGAAGAGACATCAACAAAAACCACAAACTTCAATGAATTATCAGAAAGTATGTTTAGGGAATAAATAAAAAAAAATCAGGGAAAGGGGCAGAGAGGAAGAACAACAAGGGATGGTCTCAAGTGTTGAAGAGGCATCAAAAAAAACCACAAACTTCAATGAATTATCAGAAAGTATGTTTAGGGAATAAATAAAAAAAAATCAGGGAAAGGGGCAGAGAGGAAGGACAACAAGGGATGGTCTCAAGTGTCGAAGAGACACCAACGAAAATCACAAACTTCAATGAATTATCAGAAAGTATGTTTAGGGAATAAATAGAAAATAAATCAGGGAAAGGGGCAGAGAGGAAGAACAACAAGGGACGGTCTCAAAAGTCGAAGAAACACCAACGAAAATCAGAAACTTCGAAGAATTATGAGAAAGATTATTTAGAGAATAAATAAAAAATAAATCAGGAAAAGGGGCAGAGAGAAAGAACAACAAGGGACCGTCTCAAGTGCCGAAATGAGATCAACGAAAATCACAAACTTCGAAGAATTATGAGAAAGATTATTTAGAGAATAAATAAAAAATAAATCAGGGAAAGGGGCAGAGAGTAAGAACAACAAGGGACCGTCTCAAGTGTCGAAGAGACACCAACGAAAATCACAATCTTCAAAGAATTGGAAGAAAGATTGTTTAAAGAATAAGTAAAAAATATATCAGGGAAAGGGGCAGCGAGTAAAAACAACAAGGGACCGTCTCAAGTGCCGAAGAGACACCAACGAAAATCACAAACTTCAAAGAATTATTAGAAAGATTGTTTAGAGACTAAATAAAAAAATATATCAGGAAAGGGGCAGAGAGCAAGAACAACAAGGGACTATCTCAAGTGCCGAAGAGACACCAACGAAAATCACAAACTTCAAAAAATTATGAGAAAAATTTTTTAGAGAATAAATAAAAAATATGTCAGGGAAAGGGGCAGAGAGTAAGAACAACATGGGACCGTCTCAAGTGCCGAAAAGACATCAATGAAAATCACAGTCTTCAAAGAATTAGAAGAAAGATTGTTTAGAGAATAACTAAAAAATATATCAGGGAAAGAAGCAGAGAGAAAGGACAACAAGGGACCGTCTCAAGTGCCGAAAAGACACCAACGAAAATCACAAACTTCAAAGAATTATGAGAAAGATTGTTTAGAGAATAAATAAAAAATATATCAGGAAAAGGGGCAGAGAGTAAGAGCAACAAGGGTTAGTCTAAAGTGTCGAAGAGACATCAACAAAAATCACAAACTTCAAAGAATTATGAGAAAGATTGTTTAGAGAATAAATAAAAAATAAATCAGGGAAAGGGGCAGAGAGAAAGAACAACAATGGACCGTCTCAGGTGCCGAAATGACATCAACGAAATTCACAAACTTCGAAGAATTATGAGAAAGATTGTTTAAAGAATAAATAAAAAATATAACAGGGAAAGGGGCAGAGAGTAAGAACAACAAGGGACCGTCTCAAGTGTCGAAGAGACACCAACGAAAATCACAAACTTCAATCGATATTGTGAATGATTTTATAGAGAATAAATGAAAAAATAAATCAGGGAAAGGGGCAGAGAAGAAGAACAACAAGAGACGATCTCAAAAGTCGAAGAAACACCAACGAAAATCAGAAACTTCGAAGAATTATGAGAAAGATTGTTAAGAGAATAAATAAAAAATAAATCAGGAAAAGGGGCAGAGAGAAAGAACAACAAGGGACCGTCTCAAGTGCCGAAAAGACATCAACGAAAATCACAAACTTCAAAGAATTATGAGAAAGATTGTTTAGAGAATAAATAAAAAATATATCAGGAAAGGGGCAGAGAGAAAGAACAACACGGGACCGTCTCAAGTGCCGAAGAGACACCAACGAAAATCACAAACTTCAAAGAATTATGAGAAAGA